TCCCCAGTGTCCAGCCACCAGGTCGCATGGGTTTTTCCATCTCCTTCTTGACCTTCTCATGCTCTTGTTCAGAGCCTCATCGTTTCTCACCTCTTTTTTTAGAGAGGTTTTTGTGATAGGGCATGTGTGCTCACCAAAAATACAGGGAGAGACAGACAGAAAGCAAGAAATCAGCCCCCCGGGGCATGGCCACGCTGTAACCCCTTTTCCTCCATTCTCCTCTTGGGATTTTGGGCACGTGTACGCACACACCTGACATGAATTTTAAGTCATTGGGTCCAAGACTCGAACCACAGTTGACTATGTGAGAGTCCAGTGACAACCATTATGCCATCTGCTGGTCCCCCTCACCTCCTCTTAACTAGTCCCTCAACCCCCTGCCACTCCTGGCTGACTCCACTCTATTCAGTCCTCCCCACACTCTGCCTGTCCAATTCCCATTCACCTTTCAGTTAAATGCTTTGAGGTTTTCTGATAGACCTTTCTCTCAGCAGAACCAGTCCCTCCCTCCTGCACAACTTCCATATCTTGTTCATACATCTCCTGCCCTCCTGAACACCCATGATCCTATTTGGTTACATACTTATCTCCCTCACTAGACCACAGGTCTTGCATCCCAAATGCCTGACAATTAATTTTTCCTGGTTAGTTGCCCATTCGTTTTAAATGGGAGTTGTAGAACCTCTTTGGGACCTCAATTTTCTAATTACAGAATTGGAATAAAAATGCCTACCTTGCAGGGATGTGAGGTGGTGGAGTTGAAGAAAGGTCATGGCACTAACATGGTGCCTCTTATGTCATGGCCACGGTATGCTCATCGCCCTCCTTCCCTGTCCATTGTATACGCTGTTGGTCCTAGTCATCGTTTTAGGGTCATGGAGATGGACACCACTGCTCCACTAAAGAAAGACTGTTTGCAAGGGGCCAGTTGCTCAGCTCCCTGGGTGAGAGAGTGATGTAGGAGAGGTTCCAAGTCTGGCCAGGCTACTCTCTGCCTGCAGCAAGCCTTCATACTCCTTGAGCCTCATTTTTCTTTCTATACAAGTGGATGAAGGAAGCCATAGGGTTCTGAGTAGGGACTTAATGCACATGCTTTGTGTGACTGGATAAGCCTCTGAGTCACAGATCCAGATGGTTCCATCCTGGGGCCACACATTCTGCAAAGCTTACCTCACATGCCCTTAAGGAACGCCCACACCAAAGACTTAAAAGGGAGACATCAAAGGAGACCCAATTCACAACCCTAACAACACTTCCCGTGTCCTGTTTTCTTGGCTGCCATTTTCAGAGCCTCTGATTGATAAAACTCACAAAACGAGGGATTAGCAGTTAGCGTAATAGCTATGTCGCTGGACTCCCATATAGCTGACCATGGTTTGAGTTCCAGATCCGGTGGCTTAAACTCACACTGGGCACATGTGCGTGTGTGCCCAAGATCCTGAGAGGAGAACAGAGAAGGGATTGTGGCGTGGCCATCCCCCCTAGGGGGTGATTTCTCGCTTTCTGTCTCTCTGTCTCTGTCTGTCTGGCAAGCACATGCGCCCTATAGCAAAAAA